AGTAATATACACAAAAGTTTGGAGGTTTTACTGAAACAAGACATTGTAAAGCACCAGACATGAAAAGGTGATTTCACTTTTTCACAAGTGAAAACTAAACGTAATAATGAACATATGATATCTCTTTCTGTAGGTATCGATCAAAACAGATGAAGCCATAATGATAGAAAAGTATGAGAGCCTTACCTTGTTATGATGAGTTGAGGTTGCACTTGCAGCAGGTAGCAGGGTGACTTTGAGAGGGAAATCCAGAGTTTATATAACCTTCTCTTGATGTTTTGACAAACACTTGGTTAGCATGTCCTTTGTATAAATATTGTGTAATCTATTGGCTCGGACTTGAGTGAAACCAGAATACTCTTCAAACAAGATATGGATCCACTGCCTGTTCAGCTATCAGCCACAGCATGTCCAACATACATTTAAACTCCAACATATTCAAATATTTTTAAAAATAATTAACAACATGCGTACATTTTCATCCCACTCTGACAAATCTATACCTTTTCTTTACATGTGTTTCACTGAGATAATATCATTTCGCAAACGTTCGCCTCTTGACATCATTGTTCTTACTGGACCCACACTGAAACAAATCATGAACCTTCAGGTACACAAATGCAAAATACAGAGAGAAAGTTCTGCTATACAACTCTCACAGTATATGTTATATCCAGGGGCACCGCCAGGGATTTTGGGCCCCATGAAAAGATATCACATTGGTTACTTACATTTTTTTTCTCTTAATGTTCTACAATTGTTTGGGCCCCTGTCAGTCACGGGCCCTTAGAATCGTCCTAACTTTTCACCCCCTTACGGCGCCCCTGGTTATATCCATCCCTGCCTCCAAAAGTATGTGTACTTTAGGTTAGGGGCCAGTGGTCATTGTTTACTGTTCTTGTGTTAAAAGGTGTTTTATAAATTAACTTGCCTTTCCTGGCTTTGATGCTCTGATATCGTCCAATATCCTGGACTTCCTAAGTACAAGCCAAGAGATAACTCTACTGTGTACATAGCCAGGTCCATAAGAAATAACCCCATTTATCAAATCTGTTGGCATGCATTCATTCAATACCTGGCACTATTTACTCCTAACCTGTTGTCTTTATGTGTGACAGTCGTCCAGGATGTTCCATGTTTACCAGGGCCACCCTTATGTCCACCAACCTTTGCTCATCTGACTCGATGTCACAATACTATTTTCGTAATACCGCGGTATTACGAAAATTACGAAAACACACTTTTTATCCAGTTCATTGGATATGGTGATGATAAGTGAACGAGGTCACTTAAATGTGAGTATTTGTGAAAAAACCTTAACTAGGCTGTTGTTATGAAAGCCTATTGAAGACAAGAATATAATTATAAAAATGACGAGTGATAATGGATTATGACAGACAAGAGTCAAATGCAACCACTTACGGTTGGTACTACAAATATTTTCCTAAAGTAGGTAATTGTATAGAAAACTAGAAATACTTTGTTAAAAGGTGCTTTATAGGTATTTGTGCTTAACCAGATTTAGTGTGATAAATTAAAAACAGCTTCTATTTCTTTTTTATTTAAAAAAACTATAGTTGTGAGAATAAATAACACAAAACACCAGCATCAGTCAAATTGTTACTTAAAACATTGGTATCGACTGAGAAATGTCACAATGGTGCATCTCTAATATAGTTTTTAAATATGCAAACAGTTACCATATGCACATGCCAAATAAATACAGAAGATGAGGTTTATTTCCCATTAACAGGCAAACAGTTCAAGTTTTAGCTTTAACAACTATACTAATGCATTGTAGCCCAAAAAGAAGAAGTGTTTGGAACTCTTCCAAAGAAAGATGATAGTCATGAGTTTGCTTCTTTACTTTCCTTTCAAAGCTCACTAGATCCGTGAGCATCATATTGCTCTTTTGTTTTTCTTCATTCCTTAATTAAATTATTTGTTCAATACAACACTTGGTTGTAAAATACTCATACTCTCAATACTCATGAGAAAAAAACACATCACACCACTGCAACCTAAACCAAGGAAAACAGCAAATCTTAAATGGTAAACTGGATTGTATTCTTCTTAACCTGACGTCTACTACATTTTTATTCTTTTAAGTTTTGCCTTTTTATTTTCCTAAAATAAAAGTAGCCATGACCTGAGCCTTGAGGCGGTGAAGAAAATCGGCGTGTATGGATTTAAAGTGCATTTGTCAGTGAATCAATTCTTTCCCAGACAAAGTGACAAAGTATGTCCGTCTCTCAAGATGAACCAGAGTGTTAAAACTCATAGAGGGGCACCTTTCTGCAGGTAGAGCTTTGCTGACAATCATCCCATGCACACTGCATTCTATCGTGCTGCTAATAAGTTATTAAAGGTCCCATGTCATGGCCAGTTCTACTGATCATATTTCCATTGTTGAGGTCTACTAGAATAGATTTAAATTGTGCAATTTTCCAAAATCACATTGGTTTCTCATACAGCATCTCTGTATAGTATGTGTATTCACTCTCTGTCCTAAACGGCTTGTTGGAGCTCCAAGATGGCGGATGACACCTTTCCATTTCTTCCTCCCTCTCTGAAAGGAGCTAAGAGCTGCCCAGTTAAATAATGAAGTATCTGATCAAAGGAATATTACAAAAATCTTCTGTTCTAACAAAAACGCAGTAATACCTGAGATTGACCGGTCAAGTAATCAGCCTAAAAAAAAGTTTGAGTTTGTTATTTTTTTAATTAAAATAAATCACCAATACACAACATGCACTGTGCATGTAGTGTATTTCCTTAGATTGCTGGTAGTGCCTTGTTAAGACTGATGCATGCCTCCAAAAGCTGCAAGCAGGAGAGCAAACTGTTTATTTGTTTTACAGCAGTGGGTTATCTAGATTAGAACAAATATGGTTTGAAGAAGAATATTTGAGATAAAACAGATATTATTTGGAAATTATTACATGTACTTTTTTTCCATCAAATGTTGAATTTAGGATTTTACAACACCCTCGAGTTACTTGAAACGTTCAAATCACAAGTCATAAAACAATCCAACACAGTTACCACTCTAATTTTACAAATTGTGAAATAATAATGTAAATGTAGCCCAATCTTAATCTGCAACTGTGCAGAAATACCAAGGCTAGACCGAATAAATAGAGAATAATTAATAAAGACAAAAAGCCACGCAGCATTTGAATGTGGATTTAAGTTTCAAATGTCAACGTTAGGAATTAGGCTTCAATATTTATTTAAAAGGCCAGCCAGTGACAGAGGATTAGAGGCAGTAGTCATGTCCATTTACTGTCATTGCATACACTTTGATACAACTCAAAAATTAGGATAAACAGAGAAAAACAAAAGAAATACAAACCGCAACATTCTCATCCCTTCACCTGAAATTATTATACAAACAAAAATAAAAAAGTTTCTAAATCAAATAAGCAGCTGCAATTTTTCTTGAACCTTAAATACAATTATTAGCTTTATACACCCAGCTCAACTGTTACTTAGGTTGGCACATTGATACACAAACGGCAACAAACTCAAAAGGTAATGAAAAGCTGATGAAATCTGTATGACGTCCTGCTTTTGGTTCACCTCCTACAAATGATATCACAAGCTCTTCAAAAGATGGAAATATTAATATAATATATTTACATTTTCAAATGAGCTCAATATTTAGATTATTAGATTTTGGATCAGTTTTATGGTGTTAATGCTCTGTCTTCAGTCTCTCAGCACAAGAACAATAAAGTTAAAGATGTTGACTTTTGCTTAAAATACCAATAACACGTTCTCCTCCCTTCCGTCTAAAAACATATTGAAGGATGGAGGAGGTCTGCTGATATTTTAAGTGTTTCTATTGTTAACAAATCCCATAAAAAGATCCAAACCATCAATGAAGACATTGAGTTGAGAGCCACTATCAAAGTAATGAAAGAAGACTAACATGTTGGTTGTTGTTTTTTGGGATACAGAGTTTAAATAATCCGTTTAATAAACAAATCTGTTAATAAAGACACCACTGATGTTTTATTCTTAACTGAGTATTAGCTATGATTTAACAGACTTTACCGTGTCATATTTGACTTTGAATGGTACCATACCATGATGCAGACTTGATCCACAGATTGTGGAAAATCACATATTCTGTCAATTCTAAAATGGTTGCCGATTATATTACCAAATTAAAATCATAGTCTTGCATAATTTCCAGCTGGTGGGATTGACTTTGGTACTTCATTTGAAGTCTTATTTAATAATTAAACACAAAGTTTAGACACATTACAATTTGTTAACATAAGAACACAAACAAATGTGTTATGTTATTGGGAAATTCAAGACACCTTTTTCCCTTTTTAACATTAGACCTGCAGATTCTTTGAGAGGAGCTGAGCATTTGGTGTCCTGAGCGACGTGACACTGAACACACTTTCCTAATTTCCACCAGATTGAAAAGAAATAGCCCAAGCACTTCTCTGCAACTTCAACAAATAGAAGAAGTAAAAGAAAATACAGCGTGCAGACACACAAACAGACAAACCCAACATATCCTATGTCAAAAACCAAAGAAATATGACACAAAACTACATGTTTTTAGAAAATGACAATAGAAATTAAAACTAGTAAAAATATTGAGCGTAATCATCAGTTTACTTAACAGTTCTATGGCAGCGAGCGAGGGGAGGAGATAACTTGTTGTATTAACTACAGCACTTCACATTAGCCTTATTTCAGTGTGGAAACACTTTAAAGAGACAGCTTTAAAGTTGGGTTGTTTGAGGTATTTATCAATATTGAGTGTATAACTCACAGAAGATGGCGTATGGTACACTACCAGTTTGCGAAAGAAACAGAAGAACCGGCAGGAAGATAAGCTAAGGGCTGCTGTCGGGAGGGGCAGCAGCTAAACGTATTCTAGCCACCTAAATACATCAATACCAGTTTAAGTGTAAGGCAACACGTCTGTCAGAAAGTGCTGTGCCGGGGTTTTTAAGCCATTATCTGGGCTCTCTTCCAAACTAAACAAGTAATTTTACCTCACACAGAAAGAAGGTTAACGGTCTAATGCTTAATCAGTTGGGTTGTTTGTGATATTGTGTGACTTTGGTGAATCTGAATCAACCCTTAGAAACACCATAGTCACAAAATAACAAAAACCAACCAACTGATCGAGGCAGCGGTCAATCAGCCACTCCTGTGTTCTTCAAAGTAAATGTTTTAGCAAAATTACTTCAGTTTCCAGTAAGAAAGAGGTGTCTGACAGCAGGATAGAGTTGCACAAATATTCTAAATATAGCATACACTCAGGCTGATATAGATTTATTTCAAAGTTGTCCAAATGTTTATATTGTATCCATATGTTTGGCTGCTGCTATTTATGTTTCTTTCACCCAACTGGGGGCTTAACATCCGCAGTAGGTTCTACACTGATTTCTGGTAAGTACTTCATACAACCCCACCTTAAACAAAAAAGACGAACCATCTCTTAAAGGAGCACATACTGTTATGTTGTATTGGCGTAACACTGGGTAGTAAGTATTTCCCTGCTCGACCTCTTCCACACGTTGGACTCAGGGACGGTCTTTCACCAAACAGCCTCTGGCTTCTCGCCCTCGAACACACCACTGCCTTGTTAGTTTCTTGAAAAAGCAGCAAATCGGTCAACTTCTGGAAAACGTTTCAACATACAGACAGGTTTAATTTGTACCCTTTGTCTGCTGCTTTGAAAATGATTACTTCTTCTACAGAAGAGTGAAACCTCCACCAGTAACAGATGTTGTGTCTCTACCTGCTGCTTGTTTACAATAAAAGGACAATGGGGTTAAATACAGGCTCTGCTGCACACCGCTCACACTTATCAGGAGCTAAAGGTTGTTTGTTGGACAAGACCAAGTTCATGTAGGTTCTCCTTTTCCTCCTCTTTTTCTTCTTCTTCTTCTTCTTTCCTGGTTGGGTTTGAGGCCGCTAGCATGCGGCTGCTATCTGAGCCTCACTGCGAGGATCCTGGAGGTCCTCACACGTTGGGGCAGCATCTGTTCTGGAAGAGCTGGTCCACCACCGAGGAGTCGGCCAGCGTGGAGATGTCGCCCAGGTCTCGTTCGTCACAAGCGATTTTGCGAAGCACCCGTCGCATGATCTTACCTGCAGAGAGCCAGAGAGGATGTATTTGTTTATGTAAAGCTGACTTAGAGCTTTATACTCTATATAAATACTATACTTTTTGTTTGTTGACATTGGCTTTGTTAATTTGAAACCAAGACAATTTAGTTTTCTTTTTTTCGGTTCAAACTTTGCTTCAGAACCCAGAACCTTAAGGACAAAATGTCACCATTGAAACTCATTAAAACTAAAATGTTCGATCCCACTGCCATCACAGCATGAAATCCCCTTTATATATTATATCAGGCTCTCAATCCGGAGCCCTGTTTTCCACATTTTAGTCCTAGATTGATTTAATTTCCTCATGGTTGCTAAATAGAGCAAATACATGCCATTTTCTTTTGGTTTTCTTGCACATAATAAAATGCAGATTACAAGTCACTGATACTGCGGCATTATGTAACCAAACTGTCGTTTTAAAAAGGTTAAAATCCCAAAAATGAATGAATATTTGAAGGAAAAAAAACAGATAATGTTAATATACAATATATAATCAAATAAATAGTCATTTTCTACGCTGTGATATTTTCAAACCAAGTTCCAGTCACATATGTTGGGTTTGAGGGACATTTTGAAGCCAATATCTCAAATATAAAAACCACAGAAGTCTAAAACCCCTTACGGCAAGCAGGAAGTGAAAAGGAGGGCTTTTTTTCCAACTTGAAATAACTCATCCTTTAAAACAGTAATACAACAAGGGTTTAGTTGCATCTCAAAATATACTAGTGTTTTTCAGAAGTCAGGTTTTGCTCTGAAGTTCCTCCTCTATGAGTTCAGCTAACAGCTAACTTTATTCTGACAATTACTCAACCAGCTCTTTGTAACTTTGGTAAATGTACCTGATCGGGTCTTGGGGAGGCCTGGAGCATTCTGGATGAAGTCTGGTGTAGCGATGGCACCGATCTTCTCCCGCACTGCGAACACAAAAGACAAGATCACATCAGATTAGGACTATCAATAGTGAGTAGAAAGTAAAAATGCATAAAAAGAAAGATATCTCAGGCAGAACTATATACAATACATTTGTCAGAAATTGTTTTGGAAACCTTCATTGAAGCACTTTTCAGAATAGAAAACATAGATAGCGCCCTCTGCTGTTCATAAAAAGCTACAATGATTGTTTTATTTTACTGTCTTTATATGTTTGCATTTCTATTGAACTGCTTCTCAATAAATAGTTATCAGATCTTCCTGCCTGACGAGGATACAATTAAAAAAACGTGTATGCACCTTTCCCTGACCAGGCTGTGTTTACCGACCTTGTCTTTTGAGGTCGGCCTCCAGCGTGCGGTTGAATGTCAGTCCATCTGTCAGAGTTACGAAGCAGTAGAGGCTTTCTCCTTTCACAGGATGAGGTCTGCCCACCACCGCAGCCTCGGCAACGGCCTCGTGCTCCACCAGAGCCGACTCCACCTCCGCTGTACTCAATAAGTGACCTGCAGGGAAAGAGAGGAGCAAAGGGAGGTGTTTAATGAATCTTGGCTTTTAGATATTCCCCATTTAATCACAGAGGGCTCAGCGGTCGGTCTTACCGGAGACATTCAGCATGTCGTCTATCCTCCCTGTAATCCAATAGTATCCATCCTCATCTCTACGGCAACCTGTAACGGATGAATAATAAAATCATTTAAAATAAAAAAATGCAACAAAAAAAAAAGATATAAAAGGAAATAAAGAACAAAATATATTAAAAGTAGGTCTTATCTCTCACCGTCTCCTGTGACGTAGTATCCTGGAAACTTCTTGAAGTACACGGTTTCAAACCTCTGCTTGTTCCCGTACACCGTCCTCATCACACCGGGCCACGGCTGTTTGAACACCTGTTTGAAAGCAGAGGGAGCAGAAACCGATCAAAACACATGACCAGTGAATACATCAAACATCTTTAACATGTGGTGGTGATGATGATGATTATGATGATGATGCTGCTCACCAGGTACCCTTCGCTCGGTCCCTCCAGCTCCTCTCCAGACTCATTCAAGATGGCCGGAACCACTCCGAAGAACGGGAATGTCTGGAGGACAGAGGTGATAGTGAATAAAAGTTTGTTTTTATTGGATTTGTGTTTAATTACTACCTTAAACTTGGTGTTATAATACACGTAGGATAACATTGTGTAAATAATCAAACGCCTTGTGAAGCTGACAATTGAGCGGCCCGACCAAGCAAGGAGGCAGAGGCAGAACGTCCAAAATACAACCCGGTGTGGGCATTTATTAAATCATACACATATGATATGACACACAGCCTCAATCCTGCTATTTCTCCCTGAACACAGCCTGCAGCCACAAGGATCTCACACANACTCCCTCTCTAACAGCAAAACCCCAGAGCCTAAATGCCCAACCCAATCAACCCAACAGGACACAGGTGAGGGGGGAGGAGACAACACAGGGCACCAGGTGCACACAATCAACAACAGACATGGGGAAAGGGAACACTTTTCAACAACAAAAAACTAAACAACCCGTAACGGAGGCCGAGATCTATGAGCCCAGAGATCACCTCCGTGACACGCCTCTTAAATAATTTCTGATTCTATACACTTTTTCATTGTCTTAAATGTTTTTTTTATCACTTCTTTCTTCTTCTTTTGTGTCTTTTATTTTCAGTTGTTTTCCAATAGCATTCATGCAACATTGTTAAACATGTTCAAAATTTATTTAATTCAATCATTCACAGTTTGTTCTAATCCATTTGAAAGTGTTAAAGCAGAACTGTGTTATATTTGATTTACTCACAGCAGATCCAGGTTTCATGGGTGTGGCTGCAGGTAGAGGAGTCAACACATGGCCACCCTGAAAGGCCAGAGAACATCCAGTTAGAAGAGGGTTTTATCCAACAGCGTGTGAATAACAGGCCAGCCACACTCTGCTACTACTGAATAATAATAATACATTTAATTTGAATAGTGGCTTTTCTAAGTGATCAAACATTTCAAACAAGCATGCATACAAATATGATAACAAAAGATACAATAAAATAAATAAGAAAAACAAAATGCAGAATAAATATTGTATTTTAAATTGTCAAGACTGTAGAGAAGGCCATCCTTTCCTGCCCATTTAACATTGATGAATGTAAGACATACTGGATGCCACTTAGTGTATAAGTAATATTATAACTTACGGTTTCTGTCTGCCAGAAAGTGTCCACGATGGGACATCTCTTCTCTCCCACCACGTTGTAGTACCACTGCCAGGCCTCGGGGTTGATCGGCTCTCCCACCGTCCCCAAGACTTTCAGAGATTCCCGCTTATACCTGCAGAGAGAGCGTCACTTATCACAGGAACCGTTCGAACGGCTCTCTTGCGCGACCAATAACATGTTAGGTTATGATGGTCTGAGGCGACTCACTTGTGCACCGGCTCTTTGCCGTACTTCATCAGCAGCCTGATGGCGGTGGGAGCCGTGTAGAACTTGGAAACATGATATTTGTCCACAATCTCCCACATACGGCTCACATCTGGGTAAGTAGGCAGGCCCTCGAACTGAAACACGCATAACAAAACGTAATTATATAAGAACTTAAACAAAAGAGATTTTAAAAAGAAGAGGAAATTATATAATTAATAAAATAAGAAGTATATCTATAAATAATTTTATTTTAAGGACAAAGAGTATTGTATGCTGGACAACTTGTTAAGACCCCTGAGGGAAACGTTTTAAAAGAAAGTGACTTAAGCTCTATCTCTGGTCTAATTAAAAAAATAAATGTCATTAAAACTAAAAAGCGTTTTCCACCTGTAAAGCTTTTATTGTCATCTATGAAAAATTCTATAAATAAAAATCATAGAACAGATGTATTTAAATGAAGCTTTCTTTAGTTGCAGATAGAATCAGCCACCACCTGCAGTCAGACACAATAGAGTTTGTAAAAACAGGAAGTGGAGTAATGGCAGCGGCCCTCACTCACCAGGACGCTGGTGGCCCCGTTGGCCAGCGGGCCGTAGGTGATGTAGGAGTGTCCGGTGATCCAGCCGATGTCTGCCGTGCACCAGTACACGTCGTCGGGCTGGTGGTCGAACACCAGTTTGAAGGTGGTGGCGGTGTAGAGCATGTAGCCGCTGATGGTGTGGAGCACTCCCTGCAGGCGAGAGGAGCGTTGGGAAGGATTTGACGCAGTGGATGATTTAAAAACATTGTGATTTAAAAAGAGAAAAAAGCATCTTTTTGTTGCGTGATGGAATCAAATTATAGAGATATTTATCATTTGTTGAATTGGAGAATGAAAAATGTGAATTGCTTCAAATTATGTTATATTTATATTTTATCCCATTATTTTTACTTCAAACCTCTTTAAAAACATATTTAATGATATTTAATTGTTGAAGGATGTCTAAGATCTACGTTTTTAACTTCCAATAAAAGAAAATAACATCATAATTTGAACATTTTCAGACAGCTCGCTTCAGTTTTTACATTTACATAGGGTTAGGGTTAGTATCTGTATGCGTGCGTGCATGTCTACTCTACCTTGGGTTTGCCAGTTGAGCCGCTGGTGTAGAGGATGAAGAGAGGATCTTCAGAGTTGCACCACTCTGGCTCACACTCGTCTGAAGCTCCACGTACCAGAGCGTGCCAACACAAGTCCACCTTGGGGTTCCATGGGACCTGCAATCAAACACACACAGAAACGTGCACAGACAGGACAAGTGAATACAATATTCATGATCCATGTCAATCAGGTAATTGACATTGAAATGACAGATGTTTTTATATGCTCAAATAAAAGGGAAAGAAAGTTAGTTTGACAAACTAGTTAGGAGAGGAGTGCAAAACGTGAAATCTGTAACTCTCAGTTACTGTGAAGCAATCAATTAAGTGCATTAAGGAAACAAACAAAAGTCATTTTTTTACAAATGATTTCCTTTCTGAAAATCAGAGCTGAATAACTTACCATCTGATATAAAATAAGATCTCAAAAATAAGGTAAATATAAGACAGAAGGAAAGATAACCGATAAATCAAGATAAGGAAAAACAAGATGTATGTTTGTAGCTCTGAGGAGAACAGGAACACAACAGGGGAAATTAATCTGGTTAATTTAAATTAAACTGAGCTTTAACGTGTTTTGGATTAATCTCATTCGCCTTCATTCTGCCACAAAGAGTCAAGTTAGCCTCTGTTGACGAGTGAATCGATCCTGATCTGTCCAGTCAAACCCACAACTCACACAGTATTACACAAAAAGCGGTTTAGATTAAGATTAGTAAGAAAATCACAACAATCTTCAGAGACAGCAGGTCATTGGGCTGTGTGCAAGTAAGCAGAAAGTGAGTTCACAACAGATAGAGAGAAAACCAGTGTTATCACCAATTCAACAGACGGCCCAGAAAACATCTGAGATTATTGCTTTATTTCATTTTAAAGTGCAATTTTCAGTCTTAATTCCGATTTTCAAGCAGATTTTTCCTATAAAAGTTTACTGAAATGTAATCCGTTATCTTCATCAACAAAAAAATTGTTTTGTCTTAATATCAGTGGATAACAGAAAGAAAATGTTCATCACAATTACATTTGTTTGTAAATCAGGGAGGGGAATGATGATACATTTTGATGTTCACAAATGTACTCTGAACCGTCACAAATCACATCTGCTGTTGCTGGGTAAAAACAATAAGCAATAATAATGTCTTCAATTATATCAGATTCAAAAGAAAGATATTATATGTATCATAGAGAAGCATAGATTTAAAGGGCCAACAATCTATGAAGCCTGAAGCTTTCTTTGTTTATTGTTTTCACTCTACAGCAGCAATATGAAAGGGCTACTTGTGGGTGAAATATTCTTCTAAAAAGCCAAAAGAAGAAAGGGTGTTACGGGGGTTTAGTGGAGGGAGGAGGGAATGAAAATACCTGCGGAACAGGACGAGTTTTCTTTACCCTCCCTGTCTGTTTCTCCTGCTGGGCGGAGGAAAGGAGGGAGAGGAGGAGGAGGAGGAGGAAGGAGAATTTAATGAGGGAGAGTGGTTATTAAAATCAAATTAAAAAACACAAAATTAAAAGAAAAACCTGGGTCCATAACGTCACCAAAAGTTGATATGGATTGAGGATTAGGAAGCTTTTCAAGTTTAAAAAAATTGTAGTTTTTGAAAAAGACCCAAACCACAAAACCAGTTCTAGAGAAGTCAGTAAAAGTCTTTATAGGTGTCTTACTTTGTTAATATAATGGATGTAAAGGATTACAATTAGAAAGACTGTTTGAAAGGATAACAAATATATATTTTTAGCTCATTTATATACTTTTGCTGCTTGAAAGTTTAGCATTTAATCAAACAATCAGGTGTATTGCAGTTTAAATGTAGTTTGTTCTCACACCATCAGCAGGGAAATTGATTACATTTCTTTATTTCTCATTTCAAAAAATTATTATGAAAAAATTATTTGCAAACCGTGATGTCCAAAAGAAACACTTGTGTTCAAACGACCCGTGTTATTTTCAGCTTTTAGTGGGATTTATTGACAATAAGAAAAATACAGAAAACCACCACCCGTTTTCTTAAAAAATACTGAGAAATGTAATTAGTGTGGTATTATTTACAAGTTAGTCAAATGTACCCTTTTTTAAGTTTTCTGCCAAAACAGGGAGTAGCAAAGCAATGAGGTTTTCTTAGGGAAATGTGAACTTAAAATGAAAATATAAACACATAAAAGGACACACCATGATGGGACTGCATGATATGATAAGACAGTATGACCGTAGAGGATCGATCTAACGCTGGAGGAACTCTTTGGGTTTTTATCTTTTAGTTTATGGTTTACCTGCAGATCAGGACAGGAGCGTTTGGCGGGAGGAGACTGAGAGCCCAGAGGAGTCTCTTCTGCTTCTTTAGACAAGTGCTTCAACATTATACACTTCTGTATAGGGACACCCCTGTGCGTGCACACACACACACACACACACACACACACACACACACACACACACACACACACACACACACACACACACACACACACACACTATTAGTATAATAATATACAGTACTTTAGTATTATAAGCTTATAATTGATTGTTAATGCTGCAAATAATATCTTTAAGCATACAGAGAAACATATGCTCAGTGTGTATGACGTAGTGATTATCAAAACTGTGTGCGTGCGCGCGTGCGTGCGTGCGTGTGTGTGTGTGCCTGTGTGACATCTTACTTGTCTCTGCATTTCTGTAGTGCTTCGTCAGCTATGAGCTTCAGGTTGATCAGTTTATCTCCTCGGTAGAAACCATCTGAGCAAATGAGTTGGACAAAGAGAGAGTGACAGGTGATGAAGAGAGGGAGGAGGAAGAGAAGATAAAGAAATACATCTGGATTCAGACCAGATTGAGCAAGAAAGAACTGATAACGGAAGCTAACTTCGGGCGGGACTGGATATACAGTATGAGCAGGGGTTATGAACATAAGCTGCTGGAAGTGGAAGAAGTAAACTCATGGATTGTACTTCAGTATGTTACTTAGTTTGTTAAAAGTCCTGAATTCAAAATCTATATTAAAACTGCAAAGTCATAAGAATCCAAATATACTTAAAGTACCAAAAGTTAAGAAGTCACCAAGAAGAACGGCCAATTTCAGAATAATGTGCATTCAATTATTCAATTAGAAAGTGGAGCCTATAGATACATAAATGAAGTCTAAAGACCTCTTTTCTTAACATTTCATTACGCAACCTAATTTATGTATTGATTATATTTGATTGAAGTAACTTAAGCTCTCAAATAAAACAAAATACAATACTCGCCCCTGGATTGTAATGAAGTAAAAGTATAAAGTAGGAGAAAATTGAATTTAGTAAATGCACTTTTTTCCATCAATGTCTGGAGGTAGCTTTTTTTTTTTATGTAATACGTACACTATCTGATACTAAGTCTCTTTTAGGCTCATATCATTTGGTGCACAGGCATTGGTTACATTTCAATGTCATGCTTTTTTAATGTTAAGCCCTGTTTTACAGCATGGGCCTCACCCCTCTGCAGTTTCAAAGGTAGTTGAGATAGTTTACTAAACGTTTACCATGGGTAGTAAAACTCAACGACACCCAGTGAAGAACAGAGCTGTTTTAACATCCAGGCTATAATTACGTTCTTAACAAGCTAATAAAACTCTCAGAGTACACATGCCGGTCAGAAGGAAAGGCTCTGATCCGATTACACGACTTCTATGAATGAGAAATGTGTTGATGTGTGAACTCCAACCAACTGCAGATTTACAGGATTATCTACCCAGACTTTAATCTGGCCAATAAGACTTAGATTACTGGGCTCAGCGCAGCAGCTCCTCTCAACTTATTCTGCCTTTGCTTTCAGCTTCACTAAGGCGCGTTCAGGGACCTGAAACATTTTAACGCTATTTCAATTTCTCAGATGTTATCTCTCCTGTCATTTCATCTTCTAAAGCTGCCGAGAGTGGAACTGAAGTTTATTTTCATTGCAAATTATATTGTATATAAATACATTGATTTTTAAAATGTCAGAATTTTTTTTGAAAGATGTACATCCGAGTTTGTCAGCGTTCAAAATATGTTTTTTAAATTGCTTGTTTTGTTAGTCCAAAACCAGAAGATATTTGCTGTACCAAAAAACAGAGATGCAGGAAATCTCCATGTTTGAGAGACGGAAACATTTCATGAAAAAAGTATAAGAACGGTTACAACCCCAATGATCCAGTAGTAATTTGATGATGATACATTTGTCTTTTTTTTATAAGGTAGCAGAATAGATCCACAACAATTTGCTTATCTATCCAGTGGTGTATTTTTTTATGAATCATTCCCTGTACCCCAAAAGGCCTTTCAGATATTCTGCCGTGTAGATTTGTTTTAGTGTTTTTAAAACCCACCTGCTGTGATGAGCAGCGAACACTCCGAGTCCAGGATCCTCTCACACAGAGACTCTGCTGAGAAACCTGCAAACTGGAAACAAAACCACGCACACACACAGTATTAAAGTATTACAAATACAAACTTTATCTTAAACCATCATTTACTATGTTAACATGTTTTTCTCTGCTAAGGAAAAATATGTTTTTATGCACTATTTGTATTTGTTTAAAGGGTGTTGAAGGCATTTCATTTTGTGTGAAGTGGATCCAAAGCAGGAAGCGGATACAAGGATTAGTATTTGTGTTAACTATCAGCTACCAATGGGATGTTTAAACGCTCTGATGCAACAAATATTCTTTGTAGCATCCATGTTGCTTCTCTACTGAGACTTGAACGCTCAAGAAGACAACAAAGTCAGTCGTACAACTTTTCCTTCTCTGGAAATAAGACCATCGAAGGAGCAAGTGAGCTCTCTGGGATATGTGCCCTCTTCCAAGTTGTATTTCTAACTCACCCACGATGGAGTGAACAGAAAATAACTGTCTTTTGAAACCTTGTGAAAATGTAAAGGGTGTTTAAGTCATTTAATTTAGTGTGAAGTGGATCCGAATCATGGAGCGGATACAAGCATTATCTTTGACTTTCATTAAATGTGAGATAGGTCATTTGTGCTGCATTCATGTAGTGTCGGATTATTCTGCAATCTTGCTTCTCTAACTCAGGGGTTCCCAAACTTTGCCATGCCAAGGACCCCCATATAGCATTATCCTCTGTCGGGGACCCCCCTTTTTTTTTTTTTAAATGATGTGTACAAGTGCCTCCCGATGGAACATGCAGTGCGTTGCCACTACATTTGGGGCCTTCTGCCTGATCGAAGCTGTCTTCGCTTTCTTTGCCTGTCATAGGCCCACTGCCCCATCTGAACACACACCCACACAACGAGACCAGTCAAGTCCGTTTGAGATGATGTACTCATCTAAAAGTGCTTTGCAAAATAATATTTCCTCAACAAAGTTGTCTTCTGAAATAAATCTGATGTATGCAAGCAATTCTGCGACATTTGCTACATCCGTGCTCTCATCCAGCTGCAGAGCGAAACATTCACTAGCTCTCACTTGCTCCAAAAGCTGAGCAGATTTACACTCAGTTGCG